CACACACACACACACACACACACACACACACACACACACACACACACCATTATGATGCTGGGAGGCCTCTGGCTATGAACACACAAATAATTACTGATCAGGAGGGGCACATGAACGAATAAAAAGCTACTGTCAGAGAGCAATATTGATTTCACAAAAGCAAAAATTGTCATGGGATTTCACAGATTGGACCCAAACGCAAGACCACAGGAGACAGAGTCCGATGTAACAGATTTTATTTGGCCAGAATAAAGACAGGAAGGTGTGTGAAGGTGTGGAGCCCGTGGTCCGACACCGAAGGGCAGGCGGATTGACAGTGTGAGTCCCATGGCTCGACACCGGAGGCAAGGCACTGGTGGACACCGGTTTGATCAGTGACACGTGGAACGTCGGGTGGATCCTCATGGATGAGGGGAGTTTAAGACGAACCGCAGACGGGTTGATAATGGCCTGGACCTCAAAAGGGCCAATGAACCGGGGGGACATCTTCCGGGATTCGGTCCTTAAAGGGATGTCCTTGGCGGAGAGCCACACCATTTGACCGACTTGGTAATGTGGAGCAGGGATGCGGCGACGATCCGCCAAACGTTTATTTTGTTCCGCCGTACGGAGAAGAGCGGCCCGGGTCTCCCTCCACACCTTCCTACAGCAACGAAGGTGGAGCTGGACTGAGGGAACGGCTATCTCCACCTCCTCGGCGGGGAACAGAGGTGGTTGGTAACCCAGGGAGACCTCGAATGGAGTATGACCAGTAGCCGATGATGTATGGGAGTTGTGGGCATATTCGACCCAAGGCAGGCGAGTACTCCAGCTGGAGGGATTCGATGCTGCCACGCAGCGGAGGGAGGCCTCGAGCTCCTGATTAAGTCTCTCTGTCTGCCCGTTGGACTGGGGGTGGAACCCAGAGGACAGACTGATGGTTGCGCCGAGGGCCCGGCCGAAGGCTCTCCAGACCTGCGATATGAACTGCAGACCTCGGTCTGACACAATGTCCACAGGGATCCCATGCAGACGGAACACCTGGCTGACCATGATGTCAGCAATCTCCTGAGCTGAAGGAAGCTTGGGCAGAGCGAGGAAGTGAGCCGCCTTCGAGAAGCGGTCAACCACCGTAACGATGACCGTGTTTCCTTGAGAGGGTGGCAGACCTGTGACGAAGTCCAGGGCGATATGGGACCAGAGACGATGTGGCGCCGGAAGGGGTTGCAGCAAGCCAGCGGGAGGTCGGTGTGACGTTTTATTGCGGGCACAGGTTGAGCAGGCGAGGACAAATGCTCTAGCGTCCGCCTCCAGCGATGTCCACCAAAAGGTTCTCCGAAGCAGATCAATGGTGCGTCTGACGCCAGGGTGACAGGAGAACCGGGAGGTGTGCGCCCACTGGAGCACTTGGGAGTGTGCAGACAGGGGAACAAAGAGGCGGCCGGGAGGCCCGCCTCCGGGGTCTGGCTGGGTCCGGAGAGCATCTCGCACCACTGATTCGATCTCCCAGGTGAGAGAGGCTGCCACACAGGTTGCAGGGAGGATGGTGCCAGGACTGGAGACGTGACCCTCGGGAGAGAACTGGCGAGAGAGAGCGTCGGGCTTGGTATCCTTGTGGCCTGGGTGGTAGGAGATGGAGAAGTCAAAACGCCCGAAGAATAGTGACCACCGAGCCTGGCGAGAGTTTAACCGCTTGGCCGTCCGAATGTACTCCAGGTTCTTATGGTCCGTCCAGACCACAAACGGATGAACAGCCCCCTCTAGCCAGTGTCTCCACTCCTCGAGAGCCAGCTTAATTGCCAGCAGTTCCCGGTTCCCAACATCGTAATTCCTCTCTGGTGGGTTCAACCGGCGGGAATAGTAGGCGCAAGGGCGAAGCTTAGAGTCTGAGTCCGAACGTTGTGAGAGGATGGCCCCCACGCCTGTGTCAGAGGAGTCCACTTCAACGAAGAACTGTCGGGTGTCGTCGGGCTGAATAAGGATGGGGGCAGAGGAGAACCGTTCCTTGAGGAGTTGGAATGCCTGACCGGCCTCCGGTGTCCATACAAATATGGTCTTGGAAGAGGTGAGCCCAGTGAGTGGGGCCGCCAGCTTACTGTAGTTCCTGATGAATCGGCAGTAGAAATTGGCGAACCCCAGAAATTGTTGGAGCTGTTTCCGGGAGGACGGAGTCGGCCATTCAGTTACAGCCTTGACCTTTTCTGGATCCGTCCTCACTTGACCCTTCTCAATGATGAATCCCAGGAACTGAACTGAGGTCACATGGAACTCGCATTTCTCTGCCTTCACAAACAGCTTATTCTAAGTAGGCGCTGGAGGACCAACCGAACATGATGCTGATGCTCCAGAAGATCCGCAGAATAGATGAGGATATCGTCTATGTATACGAACACAAAACGGTTCAGGAAGTCCCGGAGTACGTCATTTACCCACGCCTGGAAAACTGCTGGGGCATTGGTTAGTCCAAACGGCATGACCAAATACTCGAAGTGACCGAGGGGGGTGTTGAACCCTGTCTTCCACTCATCCCCTGCTCGAATCCGCACCAGGTGGTATGCATTGCGAAGGTCAAGCTTGGTGAAGATTGTGGCTCCAGACAGGGGTTCAAATGCAGAATTAATCAGTGGCAGAGGGTATTTGTTCCCGGTGGTGCTGCTGTTCAGACCCCGATAGTCGATGCAGGGCCGGAGGCTCTTATCCTTCTTAGAGACAAAGAAGAATCCGGCTCCAAGCAGTGATGAGGACGGGCGAATTATTCCAGCCTTCAACGATTGTGAGATGTACTCCTCCATGGACGCCTTCTCAGGTCTAGACAGGTTATATAACCGACTGGAAGGGAGCGAAGCGCCGGGTGGAGGTCAATAGCGCAGTCATAGGGGCGGTGAGGTGGTAAAGAGAGGGCCCGAGCCTTGCTAAACACCTCCCCGATGTCATGGTAGGTGGTGGGCACGGAGGCGAGATCTGGCGAAGGCTCGTGGTAGCCCTGGGGAGGCCCTCCAGGGGGTAGCGCAGATTTTAGGCAGTTAGCATGACAGTAGGGGCTCCATGCAGTAATCCTCCCCGCCGCCCAGTCAATCTGAGGGTTATGGGTGGCGAGCCAAGGGTGGCCCAGAACTAGGGGGTTTTGCGGAGAAGGAAAAACGTAAAACTGAAGTCTCTCTCTGTGATTACCAGACAGGATGAGCTGCAGCGGCTGGGTCCGGTGAGTGACTCTGGCCAGGAAGCTGCCGTCTAGGGCATTGACCACTAGCGGACACTCCAGCATCTCTAAGGTAATCTGGGCTCTGGCTATAAATTCAGGGTCCATGAAATTTTGTTCTGCTCCAGAGTCCACCAGAGCCAAGAGAGAGAGAGAGCGAGAGTGCAGAGAGAGAGACGCAGGCAACAACAATCTTGGTAGGGAGTTGAGAGAAGGCTCGGGTCCGCTCACCAGTATCCCAACCATTACTGGCGAGCGCCCCAGTTTGGCCAAACTGGACAGGAGGAAATGGAATGTCCCAGGCGGCCACAGTACAGGCACTCGTCTGCTCTGATCCGCCTATCTCTCTCCTGTGGCGAAAGGTGAGCACGGCCGAGCTGCATAGGCTCCACCTCCGAGGTGGAAGAGGGAGATGAACTCGAAGCCTGAGGACTTATCTGCTTGTCCTGATAGGCTGACGCAGGAGCACGAGGGCGGAAGCTGGAAGAGGATGACGTCACGGGCGATGCCCCTTGGGACCTGTAGTTCCTCTCACGTCGCCTCTGCCGCATCCGATTATCCAGCCCGATCAAGAGTTTAATCAGCTCCTCCAATGAGCCGGCCTTATTACAGGTTGCCAGTTCATCCTTCATTACTTCAGATAGTCCGTGAAGGAAAACTCCCCTGAGCGCCGTCTCACCCCACCCGGACTCGGCGGCGAGAATGCGGAAGTCCACTGAGTGTTCCGCTACACTCGCTTGGCCCTGTCGTAAGCGAAGAGGCGCTGAGCTGCCTCCTCGGAGTCCACCGGGTGGTCGAAAACCCTCCTCAGATCCTCCACAAAGTTCACATAGTCCACGAAATTAGGCTCGTCAATACTCAATGTGTTCATGGCCCAGTCCAAAGCCCTTCCCCGCAGTAAGCCGACCACGTAAGATACCTTGGACCTGTCCGAGGCAAAAGTCTGGGGCTGGCGGTCAAACACCTGCCTGCATTGAAACAGGAAGCCCCGGCACCTCCCCAGCGTTCTGTCATAGGGATCCGGAGACGGCACGGGGGACTCCCGAGCTGGCGGGGCGAGGACTGGAGAGGGGAGTGCAGGTGCGGGGTCCGGTGCCGGAGCCGGCTGAGGCTGGACTGTCCGAGCCAGTTCCTGCATGATGAGGCCAATCTGAGAGACCTCAGTTGCGATGGATCGCTGTGCTTGACGCATCTCCATGAGCATCCGCTGGTGTTCCTCCAGCAGCGTGCTATGTCCGGCCAGCGTAGCTGCTCCTGTGGCCGCTGAATCCATCTTCTGGTCAGTCCGTTCTGTCACGGGATTTCACGGATTGGACCCAAACGCAAGACCACAGGAGACAGAGTCCGATGTAACGGATTTTATTTGGCCAGAATAAAGACAGGAAGGTGTGTGAAGGTGTGGAGCCCGTGGTCTGACACCGAAGGGCAGGCGGATTGACGGTGTGAGTCCCGTGGCTCGACACCGGAAGGCTAGTAGCTCGACGGTGTGATGTCCCGTGGCTCGACACCGGAGGGTTGGCAGATCAACGGTGTGATGTCCCGTGGCTCGACACCGGAGAGTACGCAGATCGACCAGTACTCTACACCCGTAGCAGAGAGGAGAGAGATTAGTTCAGAAAGGAACAATGGGGTTCAACTTACGGAACGGCAGTGGAGGCTACCGAGGCAGAAGACAATACGGACTGACAACCCAAGCCTGCAAGACCAGGGTTGATATGCTGCTGGGTAACGAGCCAGATTGTCCGCAGCTGTGCATCCATCAGGGCGGTGGCAATGGGAGGTGTCTGGAGGCAGGCCCGAGAAAACAACACCAAGCACATGGCACAACAAAACAAACAGGGGAAAGACAGACACATGAGGAGAGGAGATTGGGGGGGAAACAGAGGTTAACACACAATGGGTCAGACAGGGATCCTGACAAAAATTCACTGAACGTGGGGTGTCTTTGTGGGTGAGTTTGCATGCAACCAGTTATGTTGCATGCAACCATCCGTCTTTCTCTTTTTTAACAGTCCTATTGAGAAAAATGTCCAGAATTGTCTTTAAAAAAATCCTCAAATTAATAAATGCGAACTTGCTACATGATGATTTTATGGACCTCTCTTGTGTGACATATTGCTTCAGTGAGATTTGAGACAGCCAATTTTTTTTTTAAGACTAACATTTAGTTAATAGATATCAGGAGAGGTCTCAGTAGATGAGGCAAGCCCTCCTCTGCACAAGTCAGACTAATCATTGCAGTTAGTCTACAATTGTACGCCTCATTAACATTTTATTGCTCATATTTCATTCCTCCGTCTGCATTTTCTTATTATTTCAGCCATTCCTAAGGTGGTTATTGACCCTCCGAGACCGGGCAAACTGCCTCCAAATCATCACAACCACATCCCCGACATGGATCAGAAAAGAACCACCACTACCCTCCGCCCACCAGTGACTCAAAGGAGAATCTTCCCCATTATCCCCAAATCAACAACTGCCACAACGACTACGACAACGACTACGACAACCACAACGACGACCAAAGCCCCTCTGCCACCAAAGAGGGTCACCCCACCTCCACGCAAGCCAGCAGTTTCCACCCGAAAGCCCTTTATCCCAACCAGGAAGCCACCTGCCCCTACACGCAAGCCCTACATCCCACCAAGGCCAGTGGCTCCCACACGACGCCCGCTGTCGCCACGACCAGTGACACCTGTAGACAACACCATCCAGAAGGAGGTCACCAAACAGAGGGGAGATGTCCACAGTAAGAATTATCTTTATATTTCATAAACATTACATTCATTACACCTTTCATAATACACACTTTGAGTTATAGATGACAAATCTTCATTTTGTGTCTATTTTTTTTTAACTGATCACACATGAAATATAGGCCTCTTTGCAAATGTTCATAATGTAAGCAAACCTTTAAACCTGTATTAATATTTCTTTTGGCCACTTAGGGGCAGTACAAGAAGGTATAAACACAGCTTTGACATATTATCACCTCATATTATTCCACATAAATGTGATGGTTAACCTGTTAGCAAACTTTCACCTATTTACACATCCAGTAGATACCAAGCGTTATTATAATTTATTTGGAGTCATGTTTCTGGCAACCTGACAAAAATATTTGCTCTCCTTTTGGCTCTGCTCAATGCTCCATTAATTTCACCAACTTGGTGCTAACTTTGTCTGACGGCTATTTCATTCTGAGGTAGTATACTTATAGCCTTGTTGACTGTTGATAGTCATTCATCAGAAGTACACATTGTTTGTATAAAAATATTAATTTGAGCAGCTCAGAAAACATGAGAATTCGTTGCATTAGCAGGTTCTAATCTCTGTATTTTGATGTTTGATAGTGAGGTGAACTTTTCGTTTTTGGGTCACAGACTTTGACATTAAAAGGCACTCATCAGCTCCCTGACAGGTTTCCTCCAACCAAACTTGGAGTATATTTGAATATTTCCTCATCTGAATCATGGAATATTGTGTTTATTATGACACATGTCACCATCTGGGGAATCCGAAGGGATGTTTACCCGACAGATGATGTGTATTATCATATTCATTTTGTATTCAAACACATGGATATGTGCATACAGCAGTTGGCAGTCAGTTCCCAAATGTACACATTTTATATGCCAGTTTACAATATGAAAGAGTTTAATGCTAAACATTTAGCAAAAAATTGAAGATGGTTTGTTATGGAAACTGGTGAAAATGGTTGAAATGAAAGATCTTTCGTTATCAGATTCAATATAGGGCAATGGGAGCTTTCTGTATTAATGCTTTTAAATAGTTGTCTCGCTGTTATACGACCCACTCACATGATCTTAATGAAGCTGTATCCACCCTCGTATTATGATACGCAGATTAATGAAGAAATAATGCCCATTTTGACAAGAGAATTAAGTAGTTGCAATAGTTGCAGTAGTTTATAGTAAGAATATTTCCCTCTAACGGTAATTATCATTTTTGGCTTCAGTTAACAGACAAACTGCTTCTCAGCCAGACTGTTTCTCCACATGTCACACGTTTGATGTTCTTGATCAAAACCAAATTACAGAATTGAATTTTGAAAATACTGTAGCAATGAGAGTTGGATGAGATTGTTTTTCTTCAAAGGTAGCCACTGCAATCATCTGCTGCTTTCTTTTCAAAGTCTCAAATGCATCCATCTTTTAATGAAATGACCTCTGCGATGTGACTTGTGAAGACAGAAATATTTAGTTCAGGGACAAAGTCACAGTCTACTTTTTTCTCCTTTCTTTTTTTTGATCTAGTAAGCTAGATGATTTGTCTACAAAACACTTTTCATAACAATATTTAAAAGGTGAGGCTGGTGGAATTCTATATTTTTAAAAGACAGAAAGATCACGAATGAATATTTATCCACAGCGTAAATTAGTTCCCAGAAATTAAAATTGCAATTCCCTCCAGTTTTAGGACATGAACTTTAAAGCGCTGAGTGCCATAGACAGGATAGATAAGTTGGAGAGTATTAAGAGTTGGGCTAACACATTGTTGGTTTTGGGATTTGTTGGCACACAACAAGTGTAGTTTCAGTAAATTTGTATATTATTATGATATACTGCCATACAGAAAAAAACAACAGAAGGTGAGACTTATTGGAATGTTTAGTCCAGATGCACCAACAGTATAAATTGCACTACAAATTGTAATTGAACATGGATAGAAGTGTGTTTTGTGTCATGCTTGTTTGTAGGCACAGCAAAAGTCAGTGTTTACCAAAACCCCAAACATTAAGCTCTGTTGACGTAGAAATATCGGGTGAGATGCAACAGCAAAGTAGAGGATAAGAGGTGAGATACTGTGGTTCCTGCTCACCTTGCCAGATGGCATCACATAATTAGAAAAGGGAAAGAGGAAAGAAGATTACATTAACACCTGTCTGCACTGCTTGAGGGAGACATCAATCTAATAGTTTGCATCACGGCAGAGCAGTTCTAGAAATCAGAGCTTCTTGAAGATGGTTTGAATAATATCAGAGAGGGAGGGAGGAGAGACACTGCTGAGTGATTATTCAGGTAATTAGATGGAAATAGGAATCATTTGAATGAGAGCCTCGTGGCATAAAGAATGCCTCCGCTGTGTCTCAAGTACAGGTGTGTACTGAAGTCAGTCTGAGAGTGGTATCAATCTTTTCCTCTAAATCTCAGCAAGAAAATGAATACGAATATATTCCCCAAAATGTAAATATGTTTATTTTTAAAGGAGTACATGCTCCAGAGAAAAGCCTCAAACCTCTGAGGCTAATACAATACTATTGCATTAAAAATGCATTTACATTAACTTTACATTAAAAAGACAGTGTTTACCTAAGCTGAATAAAAGTTGGTATTTAGAGATTCAAGGTGTTCACCCACAAACAGCATCTGAAAATAAATGGAGTATACTGAAGGATTGGTTATTGCTGAACATTTTGGCAGAACATAGGAAATCCACCTTAAGCTGTTACCTCTCAAATATCTGGATGAAATGAACCACTAAAGGTCACATTGTAAAAAAACAAGAGCAACATTTAGTATGAGCTGTTTCAACATGGTTGTTGAACAAATAAGTTATTTACAGGGTCACTTACAAACCTGTCTCTTGGGCACACATAGAGACATGGATGCCTGGGATTGCTGAACTGCCTGGTGCGAGTGTGACCTCCCCACTGTCAGATTCCTCCGACTGTCAGGCTACATTGCAGTCTGCCAGGTGGTTGAGACCCAGTGTGGGGGTGAATGGGCCCTTTCAGCGCTCAGGCCGACTGGAGGGGGCACATGCTGGGGAGCCTAGGGGACTGACGTGTCAAGTGCAGGTTACAGGGCATTCACGGCATAGGAGCAAGAATCTGCCTGGGATGCTGGGAATAGTTTTACTGATAGTTTTACTGACTTATCTCATCTGCAAATGCAGTGAATACATACTAAGATGATCTTTGTATCTTTCTATCAATTTAAAACCAGTAAACACAGTTTTCATTCTAATAGAGTAAAATAGCCAAAGCATCTTTTGCCAAAAAAGGCTTGACACTGTAAAAGTATGCTTGGCTTAAAGTATTCTGGGCAGTGTGACCCCATTGGAGAAGGGAAGAGGCTATTTCCGGACTGAATGTGTACTGTATCTGTGTATGTACTGTAGCTCCAGGTTGTGTAAGAGCAACATTTGCCCAGACGTTGCATCATGAACCATCAGCCTTTTTGTTGTTATGATTCACATTTGACTTTTGGTGTTTCTGCACGTTTTCTCAGGTATTCTGGCCAGGTGCTGTGTTGTTGAATGCACTTAGCTCTGGATATGCAGGCACTAAACCATGACATTGATTCATCCTTGCAGAGTCCTTGTAGCGTAATGAAACAAAGCCACACAATAGCCACAAGCATACCAGTGAGCAAATATAATACCTTTGTTAATCCTTTATCTAAACCTGCATCTCACCTCTCTCCTCAGTCCCTCGGAACCACGGCCATAACACCGTCCTTGGTGTTGACTTTGACATTGAGCTCGGCAACACGGCAGATGAAACCAAGGACGATCCAGGTAAACACAAGACATTTGACAGAGACAATCAGCAGCAGCCCTCAAACGATGACGAACGAGCCACATTTGCATTGCACTGACAATCAACTCCTGCAGTGGTTGCTGCCGAGGCGAAGACATTATAGTGGCCAGATGTGCTTTGATAGGCCTTTCACCAGGAGGTGACACATGACATCTGGCCATATCCATTGAAATAATGACTCACAGCTCAAAGCGGCCAGACTTTTCCACTTTTCACATTATGCTTGCTTGATTGCCTGACTGCTTGAATGATTAATTGATCATTTTTGAAGTACATCAGTGCTCCGCTCATAAGCTCCATAGTACTCAGTGTACAGTTCCTACAGCAACTATAAGAAAACAGCTTTTGTGAAGAGACAGTATTTTATGTGATTTATTAATGTCAATGGTATGCAGATTATATTGCCTAATGTTTTAGTTATGTGTTTATTTTGGCTCATGATGAATCATTTTCTATGCAGTGTCAAGTGAGAAGGCCTTTTTATTGGCTCAGGAAATGAACTGAGAAGTGTTTTGCGGAAACCTTACTTCATACAAAATGATGGATGTTATTCTTATCTTCAAACCAATTTGTACAGCAATGCATGGATGATGCCACAACTGCATTCCTATGATGTTATTGTCTGGACATCATCACTGGGAAAGAAATCATCAGTCATGACATATTATGACTGTCTTTGTAACTATAGTGTATTTTGCTATGGTGGAGGGTAGACATAGAATAGGTTATATGTGTAGAATTCACACAGCAGGGCTCATGTGAAGCATTGCAAAATGCAAAATGAAGCCTCTTTGTATGTATGTGCATCCTGCACGTCTCTGAAAAGTGTGTTTTGTTATTTTCAGAGTCGGGGTACCTGAGCTGCTCCTTTGATGATGGTCTTTGTGGTTGGATCCGGGACAGAGATGGAGACCTGCATTGGGAGACAACGCCTGATCCGTCAGGTAATTCAAGGGCCATTCTCACTCACACACGCCAATAAGGAAAATTGTTTATTTTAGAGTCAGTAAATGGAAATGAGAATAGCTGCGGTCCTTTTCTGACAATTCATACATATGCAAACACATACAGCGTCAGACAATGTAAGCAGCTAAGTTTTGTTCTGCTCAATTACAGGTCAAGATGGAAATTACTTGAGGGAAGTAGTTTGTCTTTTATGCGGATTAGTGCTTTGCTCTACAAAGCGATGCAAATGAGAAACGGATTACGCGACCCGTCAGCGATACCTGTGGCTCACATAAAATGGGAACACAACACTGTTTTTCTTGGGGTTCAGACAAGGAGAAAACGTGCTGAATTATGTTGACAGGACTCATTAGACACGGTGTGAAGACTAAACAGTGCTGCGTACTGGCACTGTTTAAGCAACACTAACTACAACCGTCTTCTTCTGCCAACTGGCCTAATCTAGCAGGTACTAGTGTGTTTGCAGAGACTCAGACTGAGGTCTCATTTCAGCCAAGTTTGTGCTCCCTCATTAGAGGGAATAAAGATTTTTACTTAGACCTTTACGTTCCCTGGAAAATCATTCTCATTAAATCATAATCTAGGCCCTGACAAAAAGTAATGCCATTTAAGAGGCAACATTTCAGTTTTCAGTAGCATGTAGTGAATGTAATTAATCAGCACATTTAAATACTATATTTATGGGAATGTGTGTGTCCACCTATATATGGCTTTTGCTACATTTCCGGTGCGTTTTGAAGCAAGTAACTATTTACTGTTCATCGCTTTACGTTCTTTTGACAGACAGCCACTGGCTAACACTCATGGCTGTTAGAAGATTGGCACAGGTTTGGAGGGGCTCATAACATATGCAGAAAGCATCTGTGGCCTACAGATACATATCGCACCCCCTGTGGTTAACACCAGCCCTACACAGATCTGCTAGATAAGCAAAATGCATCAGCATTAATCAGCTATTACCCAGAAGCGCTTTGACTTTTACATTTTTTTAAACTATACAGCTCTTTTATTACTAACTAATGCATGAATTAATGAAAATAAATTTATTTGCCAACGGCAAATGGCTGTACTTTGTGATGAATTATAAGTGGGTCAAGTCTTTTTCAATTGTCAATTTTTTCACACTTTCCCTTCTACATATTCTACAAACTCTACTGTCAAACTGTCAGACCTATTGTAGTAAAGGCCATGCTGCTTGTTTAGGTTTATTTTTTAGCTGTGCTGACACCCAAATACAATGAGTGAATGGATGTATTTCATTGCTCAATTAAAAAAAAACATTTGGAAAAACTCAACTGCAACTTGTCTTTCCAGACACAATGTCCCACTGACTCAGGACAATTCACAGACTTCACTGTCAACAGTTTGCTTGACTAAATGGAAAGTGAATCCAACTGTTCAATTATTATGTCAATTATCCTACAATAAGTAAATCTGGGTACTGTTTCTGGAAAGCCAAGTTATTTAGTAGTGCTGTAATTAATTAGAAATGTGTAGTTTCTTGTCTGTTTAATTTTGTCTACTTCAACTAATTTTGTTTCAAATAAGTTTAGGTTTCAGTAAATATGAGAAATAATACTTAATTTAGTAAAAAAAAAACAAAGTACAAGTGTGGTGCAACCGGCAAAGATGCAGCATACTCACGGCAGGATGGAACATTCCTTAGTGCTACGTTTTCTAAGATACAATTCAATGTTGCCCCTTATTGACTAAAGATATATGTTCTGTGTGTTTTCATTAATTGACTGTAATGTCCGTCATTTACCTCCCAAGGTGGAAGGTACCTCACCATTCCTGAGGTAGGCAATAAGAGGACTGGACGAGGGGCACGGCTGGTCCTCCCACTCACCCCTCCCTGGAACAATGGCAATCTGTGCCTGTCGTTCCGGCACAAGCTGGCAGGCCACCACGTGGGTATGCTGCAAGTGTTTGTGAAGAAGGGAAAGCAGTACAGTCCAGCAGTCTGGGGCCGGACAGGTGGAAATGGCTGGAGGCACACCCAAATCACACTATGGGGCACAGGCCTGGAAAGTGTAAGTATAAATATTTCAAAATTCACTCATACAATGAGAATTTTAAATGATTGTTTCTCCAGACATTTTGGAAGTATGTCAAATGTTTGTATTCCTGTTAATGAAAAATAAATCCGAGCAGCAGTCTGCAGTTCGAGGGTGCATATGCAAAATGTTAGATTGACGTCCGCTTTGGGTAGAAACGCATGCCAGCAGCATTTGGTGGTCGTTCCTGAGTGATAGTACCTCAGTGTGCACGTTGCTGCTGTTCACCAGGTGATCCTGAAGGGGGAGCGTGGGCGAGGCAGGAGCGGCGAGATGGCTGTGGACGACATAACCCTGAGGAAAGGCTCCTGCACAGAGGAGCACAATCTGAGGAGACTCTGACTGACAGAACAGAAAAAGGCAGAAAGAAAACAAGAGGGAAAATCATCTCAAAGAGAACTGACTCTGTTTTGACATCGACCTCACTCTGCCTGGCCTCTCGCTGATTGCCCCCGTCACCCCTCCCAGCCATTCTGTGAACGATCTCCAAAAAGTTGTGTGTCTACAGAACAGTGAGTTTCTCCTTTTGACTGCCCATGAATAAAAAGACTCAATTGAAATGTCATGTGCGCATTCCAGCACCACACCCCTCTTCTCAGACACCCTCTCACTCCATAACCTTGTTACCATAAAACCTGCATGAACCAACCTACCATGGAAGTGTCCTCCACCTAACAGCCCTGGCAGCCTTCCAGCCACACCGCTGAGAGGCCCACGTTCACTTCAATTCTTCCCGTTGAGAGGAACGTTCCCTCACATAGCAGTCTGCTTTTGCCTTGCTTTGATCCCACAAGCCATTGCTTTTTATTTGCTGGTATAAATTTCTTTGGGGTTTGGAGATACATTAAAAAAAAAATAAAATAACATTATGTAAAAGCCAAATTGTAAATGTCATCATTTCTTTCTCGACCCAAAGTAAAACATCGAGAGGGTCAATTAGCCTTGCCTTTATTGATCTTTTTTTTTGTCACAGTATTAAAAAGATCTGTTTGGTAGAAGAGGTTTAAAATGTAGCACCTTTTCTACCCTGATCTTTTATATAAGCCTCCTAAAGTTGTTCTATGGTCATTGTTTTTTACTCAAAATGTCAAACAGAATCGGTGTATGATTTTTGACACTAGCAAATCAACACTTAGTTTCTATTAAACAGTATGTGCTTTGTTATATTAAGTGCAGTTTGTTATAACGATGATACCAACACATTTTAAGGCTTTCAAAATGTTATTATTGTAAATGTAATTGTGTGTACATACTCTGAAAATCTACAATCCCATTTGTTGTGTGGTTTATACGTTATGTAAATTCATACATTGATATTAATTGGATTTCAAAATGGTTGGTATTTCAACTTTCACTTAAAGAACATGTATACAGATGGAAACCTTGTGTAGTGCCAGGCTGTGTATGTCAATGTCAATGTGTTATGATAAAAGGCTCTGTCTGTAACTTGCAAAGCACATAGTTGCATATCGTATGCTGTGATAATGAAGGGCATCGGCTGGAATTTTAAGGTTTTCTGTATGCATGGGTGCATCCACCAAATTTATCCAGACCAGTATGTAAATAAAATTAATTTGACTGATATTTTATGAAACAAAGCATGATTATTTTTTCTTATCCCAGTAGCTGACAGCAACACAGTGTTTAAAAAATAAGTACAATATGTATTGATGAGCAGGTCCCTATATCGTTTATATTGTATATTGTAGTCTCCTACGTCGCCACGCCACGCAAGACTACAAAATGGCGCTTTGGAGGGAAAACTATCAAAGTGGCGAATGTAGTTTCGACTACAAAAAGTATGTAAGATAGACAGGACTACCAAAATGGCGGATGTAGTTTCGTAGGTGATCACGCTAAGCAAACTGCAAAAATGGCGGCAGGGCCACGATAGAGGCCGCGTTTACACACCACGTGCGTCTGAGATGGGTAGCAAAACCTAAATGTGCATATGAGTATGTGTGTGTGTGTGGGTTAGTTAAACAATAAAGGAAAAGGAAAGAAACACTCCAAGCAAGGTCGATCCTCACCGCCGCAGTAAAACACAGGAACTGTTTCTCTATCACACAGAAACCCGACTGGCGATCTCAAATTCGGCAAGCCGTGGCACTGGTCTTTTAACTGATAGTCACAGAACTAACCTTACTCGAGGTGACTGATCTAACCACAACACTATTACAGCAGCACGGAATGCAACAGTAATTTCTAAGCAGCACTAACGGAACTCGGCGGTCCGTAAACATACACAATAACACGTTAACAGTCCAATTAACTTAAAACAAAACAAAACAAGGTAACAAACCCACTATGACCTATCTCTGCCCCGACACAAGCCTCTTACTCTGAGATGATTTCGTAGCGGTCGATGTGGTTCTCCGAATTTCTTCATTAAATTCGGGATCTGGAGCTTCAAGCTGCGCGGCGATAAATCTTCTGTATGGCAGCGAGGAGTCCTCGGAAGTGAAGGGAATTTTCCTTCTATACGACCGGCAAATGTTGACTTGATTGGGAAGAGAATTTGTCCTCCTCTTCCTCTGAAGAATATTTTTCTTCCTTCTGCAGGCAAGTTCCTTCGGGATCCAAAACAGTCTATTGTTCGACCAGCGAATGTATTCCTAGGTTTTCTTAAAAGCAACAACGTTGTGCGCGCCCCTTTTCATGCGAATCGAATCACGTGGGTTGGCTCCGAGCTGCAGGTAACGCAGATTTTTATAGTCTCAATGACGCCACAGGGAGCCCCCTGTGGTGCCTGTGGCCCTCGTCCAATGAGACCCCAGTGTTGAGTTTGGACCAAAAATCACATGTAGGTGAGACTTAAAGTCTGGTGGGGCTTGGTGTGATTTTAGCCCAAATCAGGCTGTTGACTGCTATGTAGGCCCAATGCCCAAATCCCTTTTTTCCAACCACATGGTGAAGTCCCAACAGTGTGTATGTATCCAACAGAGGGACATTTTATATAATTTAAAAGATCAGGTCATTGGAATTAATTTTAAGATTATTTTGTGGGAAATTGAATATGAAAAATGCCATTGTGAGCAACATAGTTTTCACAGCACAAAATATATTTAAATAAAAGAAAGGAAGAAAATGTTCTTTGTATATGACAGGCACAACCAAATGAAGGAGCACAAACCACTTCTAGTATGCAGACAGGTACAAAATAGGACGAATGCTTTGATTTGGATTTTCACATTCCTCATAGACATTCAAAGATATATTGTTTTTATTTATACAATGGCCATGGAGCACACATGTGTTTGAAGGCTTCCGAGTATCCGATAAAATGTAATAAAAGCTTCAAAGAAGCATAGAAGAGTCAAACAAAGTAACAGACATTTTACCACCGTTATAAATGAGTGTGCAAAGTATATTGTGCCGCAAGCATCCACAATACACATACCTTCCCACTGCATTACTAGTTGACTTTTGCCTCTAATCTACTCGGGTAATAACTAATTGCATACTTTGATACAAACACATCCACCCTGTGTTTTCTGTTTTCTTTGATAGATGGCCACGGCACAATATATAAGCGCTATGAAGGACTCAGTGGAGTGTGTCTGAGAGGTGGCAGTTAGCCTCAATACCAACTGACATAGGGGACTCTTTTATGGGTTTAGGGGCTTGGGATTTTACGGCTTTGGAGTGGAATATCTAGGGAACGGCATTTAAGGTGATTAAAACATTTGAGTGCTCTATTTTGACTGTTAACGGTGGGTTCTATCAAATGCCATAAAGCCATGAACATGTCATAAAAAATATCTTACTAAAGTATTTAATCAAAATGGAATATAAAAGTCAAAGTATAATAGTAGATAAAAAAAACAACGTTTAGCGTGCCATCAAAATGTCATAAAAAGTTGAAAAAAATTGAACCGATAAAAATCATAGTATGCCATTAAAATGTCATAAAAACATCATGGTATAGTATGTATAAGAATGTCATAAAAAGTCAGAATATAATATTAAAATTGGCAAAATGGCAAACAATGTCATAGTATAGTATGCCATTAAAATGTCATAAGATATTTCATATTATAGAGTACCATTAATTGTTATAAAAGTCATAGTTCGATCAAAAAGTTCATAAAAAATGTCACAGTATACATTATTTTTACAGTATGGTATGTCATAAAAAAGTCAAAGTATAGTATGCCATAAAATGTTATCAAAACTCTTAGTGTAGTATGCCATGATATATGTCGTAATATAGTCAGTAAAAAGTAATATTATAAAATGTTGAGAAAAGTTATGAAAAATGTATAGTATATTATGATGAAAAAAAGTCATACTATAGCTAGTCTAACAATGTTAACAACAAAAGTATGCGTATATACTGTCAAATAAGTTATAAAGACGTCATAGTATAACGGAAAAAAAAATAGTATAGCCTGTCGTAAAAAGTCACAAAATAGTCATAGTATAGTTACTATGACTTTTTTCGACAGGCTATACTATGACTTTTTCAGACATACTTAAATATGAATTTTCAATGACATACTATACCATAACTATTTGATTTGTTTTCTGTTATCTTCTCAAAATCTCATTCCCATACTGGGAGTCAAATCCAGGCCACCTGGGTGAAAACCAGGAATCCTTACCGCTAGACCATATGGGAAATATTAATGAGTTTTTCAGGCTTTTTTTTGACATACTATACTATAGTATGTCAAAAAAAAGTAAAAAAATAGTTAAGTATGTCTGAAAAAGTCATAGTATAGCATGTCTAAAAAAGTCATAAAAAGTCATAGTATCGTATATCTATATAGTATATAGTATATATATATATATATATATATATATATATGTCATGGAAAATGTCATACAACTTTCAGACTTTAGTATGCCATTGAAATGTAATGAGAAATGTCATAGTATTGTATGCTATAAAAATGTCATCAAAAAACATGTCGTAAAAAACATTATTGTCTTAAAAGCAACATAAAAAATGACTTAGTAAAGTGTGTCATATTGTCATAAAAGCACCATAGTACAATTTGTCATTAAAAAGTCATAGAATAGTGTATCTTAAAAATGTCACAAAAAGACAAATTATAATACGTCATGAAAATGTCATAAAAAGTCATAGTATAGTATGCCATAATAATGTCATAAAAGCATTATATGCCAGTAAAATATCATTGGAGAAAGTAAAAGTATAATGTGTTTTTTTTATGTATAACAAAGAAGCCAGTAGAATATCCTTTCCAGACTGCATGGTAATAAAATGTCATTCAAAGTCATAGTATAGTATGACATAAATAGGTTATTTTATAGTATATTATTTTATAGTACCTCAAAGTATAGTGTTCCTTAAAAAAGTCAGAGTATAGTATACTATCAAAATAAAAACGAAATGGTTTTCAATAAAGCATCATAAAAACTTCATTGTACAGTATGCTATTAAAATAAAGAAAAGGTTGATAAAAAAGCATTGTATGCCAATAAAATGTCATTAAAAAACCCCACAGTAATAGGGCAGTGGCCTGGATTATTCTATCAAATATTGTAAAACAGATTTTAATTGGAATTTTGAGATTATACATAATTACATTTAGAGCTCCTCAAGCTCCTTTTGCGCATTTAATGCAATGTTGAAACATCCTGATGCAGATTGGCATAACTCATACAAAATGTATATGATTATTCATGGCAAACTGCATTTATTCTCAGTTTCTCTCCAATTTTAACTCCACATCTATTTTCCAAATAAATTAATCATACATTTTGCCCCTATACCACAATGTAGAAGTCTGAAATAGAGCCGTTCATGCCAAATGGAGTCAAAAGATTTCTTGAAATCAATAAAACATGTGAATATCTCTCTCTCTTCCTCTGTCTCTCAACAACACAAACACACACACAGACAATGAATCAAATTTCTGTTCAAATAAGGTCTACTCTTTTGATGTTAGATCTGTCTCCAAACAGATGATTCTCCTAACTCCTGTCACTGACCTGTGATGAAATACCTTAAAACATTTTCATTTTCCACCTGGGCAGCCTATTTGGGACCAAAAGGGCAAGCAAACAGTCCCCTTATTAAGATAAACCACCATAGCAAAAATAAATCCAGAGGGCAGAGCCAATAGCTAACACAATTGTGTGTATTCGCCTGTATCTCTGTGTTTGTAAATGTGTGTGTGTTTTCCTTTGTGTGTTTTCCAAATTATCTCTTGAAGGGTAGCAAAGTCAGGCATTTCTCTCTCTTTTCTCACAAGCATGCACCCATACACATATAAAGTGGCAGAGCACACAGTAAGAGAGGGAAATATCAAACACCTTTTCAGTTCATGAAGAATAAAGTATGAAGCCTCTGGCTGAATGAAGGTGAAAGACCTTCTCAGACTCTGTTACGCTTGTTCCATGGAAACAAGAAATCTATCAGTGCTAATGGGACATTAATGAATGCCATACCAGGTGATTAATGGTGAGGTTAAATATGAGGGAATGTTCACAGAGCTAAACAGTAGTGATGTCCTCCATCATGCATAAGAAGACAAACAAGGAATGGAAAAAGGTTACTTCTAAACATACATTTTTTTGTTTTACTTTCTAAATTGCCA